AGAATCTTGCTTTGTCACTCAGGCTGGAGTGCAGTGGCATGATCTCAGCTCATTACAACCTCTGCCTTCCAGGTGCAAATGATTGTTATGCCTCAGTCTCCCAGGTAGCTGGGATTAGGGCGTGCATCACCACACCCAGCTAATATTTATTTATTTTTTTTTGAGACAGAGTCTCACTCAAGCGTCAGGCTGGAGTGCAGTGGTGCAACCTCCACCTCCTGGGTTCAAGCAATTCTCATGCCTCAGCCTCCCAAGTATCTGGGACTACAGGCGCGTACCACCATGCACAGCCAATTTTTTTGTTTTTTTAGTAGAGATGGGGTTTCACCATGTTGGCCAGGATGATCTCGATCTCTTGACCTCATGATCCGCCCGCCTCAGTCTCCCAAAGTGCTGGGATTACAGGTGTGAGCCACCACACCTGCCCTAATTTTTATATTTTTAATAGAGATGGGGGTTCACCATTTTGGCCAGGCTGGTCTCGAACTCCTGACCTCCAGTGATCTGCCAGCCTCAGCCTCCCAAAATACTGAGATTACAGGCATGAGCTACTACACCCGGACCCATTTTAATTTTTAGCTAGCTTTTAGACTTTTAGAAGTAAAGAGTAACAGGCCAGAGTTGGTGGCTCACACCTGTAATCCCAACATTTTGGGAGGCCAAGGCAAGTGGATCATTTGAGACCAGCCTGAGCATTGTGGTGAAGTCTCATCTCTGCAGAAAATACAGAAATTAGCTGGGTATGGTGGCATGTGCCCCTGAAGTCCCAACTATTTGAGTACTGAGGCAGGAGGATCACTTGAGCCCAGGAGGTCGAGACTGCAATGAGCCGCGTTGACACCACTGTACAGCCTGGGTGACAAAGCGAGATCCTGTCTCCAAAAAGAAAAGAAATAAACAGTAATGACTGACACTTGTTTTTAAAGAGAGCCTTCTCTAAAAGATGCTGTAGTGTGGCCTTCAAGATTAATCTGTAAAAGATTTCTATTGTACCTATGAAACTCAAGAATAGTACGGAAATAGTAAAATTTCCAATTTAAAGTTAATTTTTAGACATTTTAAATAGAGCCTCTCTGAGATAAAACGCTTTTCTACATGCTAACATGCCAGGAAGAAAGAAGCCATGTGGCTCAAGGTTAAGAGATCTGAGATATCCGGAGTTATTTAAGAAGGCTTTTAGCATGAAAGAGCTCATTACCCATAACTTACGATACACTGAAATTCAAAACATCGTCCTCAGCTTTAATGCTTTGCCTCCAGTTGTTACTGAAAAGTACAGTGATTTTTTTAATCTCACTAGTTCAAATAAATATATTCAGATTCTCTTTTGTAACATGAAAATTCCTATTCTGTCGTTAAATATTAGTTTTGGAAACTTTCTTAAATTTGTGCTTAAGCTTTTCCTATTTTTCTTTATTTGAATAATCTTCATGTCTTGCTTTCATTCCAGGAAATCCATGGTGTACAACACTCTCTGTTCTTTAATGTTTTAACTCGTTCATCTTCCAGAATCACTTATACACACTTATCCTCCCTATTTTTATATGATCTCCCATTTGATTTTTTTTTAACATTCTAGATCCCATTTTTATTTATATGTTTCAAACTTTTTTCTTTTTTCTTTTTTTTTTTTTTTAGATGGGAATCTTGCTCTGTCACCCAGGCTGGAGTGCAGTGGCGGGATTTCAGCTCACTGAAATCTCCTCCTCCTGGGTTCTTGGAATTCTCCTGCCTCAGCCTAGTCAGTAGCTGGGCCTATTGGCACACAACCCCACGCCTGGCTAATTTTTTGTATTTTAGTAGAGATGGGGTTTCACCATGTTGTCCAGGCTGGTCTTGAACTCCTGAGCTCAGGCAATCCGGCCACCTCAGCCTCCCAAAGTGCTAGGATTATAGGTGTGAGCCACCGCGCCCGGCCTGTTGCAGACTTTTATACTTTTAGCATGACTGTATCTATCCCACAAAATAGCCTGGCTCCTTGATTTTAAATTATCCTTTTCCTGGGTCCTGCCCAGACTCTCATTATACCAGCCCCTACCAGTTGTTAGGGCAATCAACAATTTATTTCCAACAAGGGAACAGGGTCCTTGCCTCACTATTTCTAGGCTACATGATGCTCCTCTGCCCAGGGCTAAAAATAGCCACAGCTGCTTGTTTATTGGTCACATTATTTTTAGGTTTGCATACACACATATGCCTAAATCTAATCCAGCCCAGCAGGTCAAATCCAGTAAGCAAAAGGAAGTGGTAAATATCTGAAGGGACAGTTAAACATTGTACATCTTCACAATATCTTTTTATGCTACTATAATACAGGTTTCTAATCCCGTTTTCAAAACTACTCTCTTATCTTCTGTTTTTAAATTTTTTTCCCTGCCAGTCTACTTAGTAAGATCAAGTTTCTGAAATTACAAAACAATGACAGTAGAATTTTCCTCACTTAAAGTAATAAATGGCCGAGAATTGCTGTGAAATCCTACTTTTCCTATTGACATATTATAAAAAAGAAGTGATATGTTCCTAGGAATTAAAAAGGTATGTTTCCTTAACTGTTAATACCACACTTGGGGTCAGGTAAGCTGTGTACTCTGGCAGTTATTATGA